GCCATCTACCCCCGCAGCAACCGGCGCCATCTACCCCCGCAGCAACCGGCGCCATCTACCCCCGCAGCAACCGGCGCCATCTACCCCCGCAGCAACCGGCGCCATCTACCCCCGCAGCAACCGACGCCATCTACCCCCGCAGCAACCGACGCCATCTACCCCCACAGCAACCGGCGCCATCTACCCCGCAGCAACCGGCGCCATCTACCCGACCGCGACCATTTACCCAGCTCGCGAGCGCGCACGCAAAATCCGGAAGCGATCGTAAACCGGGTTTTACGGCCTTCTCAGATGAGATACCCCTCGCTGCTGTCTCACTGACTGTCTGCGGCGGCGATGGCAATGGCGCGGGCGGACGGGTGGAGGGGGAGGGGGAGGGGAGAGGGGGAGGGGAGGGAGGGGGGGAGGAGAGAGGGGGGGAGGGGAGAGGGAGGGGGGACAAAACAGCGGCGACGGCGTGCAGGGGGAGGGGGAGGGATAGACGAAGCTGCGATGGCGCGCGGAGGGAGGGGGAGGGGTAGGCGGCAGTGGCAGCTGCTGGCCAGAATTACACGGCGCAGAGGCAATGTAATACAATGTTTCACGTCGGTCTCGCGAGTGAAATACCGAGCCAGATTTAATTTCACAAATTTTTATGACCTTCTCGGGAACATTGCATACACACACCTACTCTACATCTGCACACACACACCTAATCTACATCTCAGTCTGTATACACATATGCGCTGTATATCTGTAAGATACACACCTACTGTACATTTGCATGCACGCTTACTGTACATGATTTGTACAGATCACTTTCACGATAAGATGCTAAAAATGAACTTTAAATCTCAGGTGCTAAATCAACCAACGATAATGAATATCTGCATCAAAATTTAGTAGTACGTATTGCAAAAACATATCACATGCAAGCGAGCTCTGTTATGTAAACAAAAATGTGTATTATGTACACAAACTCTGCTATTAATATCATGCCTCTACAACGCCTCCGTTTGCGAAGCACAAAATCAAGACGAAAAAGAAAGAAAGAGGAGGGGGAGGTCCGTAAATTTTGCTCGCGAGGGGGATTTTTAAGGGATACCATCCTCCCACCAAGACACCAATGTCATCCTCGACACCGAGGGACAGCATAAGAAGAAGAAGACCCTCCCTCCTTAACGAGGTCGAATTAACAAAGTTCCTTAACGAGGTCGCATTCGACGCGCGATCCCGAAACCTCGCGGCGAGCAAGCCGCGTCGCCGCCAGGGGGCGCCGCCTACCTTTGCGAGCGTTCTCGAGGACGTCGACGCCGAATTGAACGACGTCGCCCGTGCAGAGTTCCCGCGGCGGGCTTTCCTCCGATCCCTTGCTCAGCCGCTGGTTGTTCACGAAGGTTCCGTTGCTGCTCTTCGTGTCTTGCAGGTAGAACTGTTCGTTCGTTCGTTCGTTCGTTCATTGGTTCGCCAGCGCATTCCCGGCCGAACGGCGAGAGAGATAGAGAGAGAGAAAAACGGAGGTTTGTGAACAGCTGCGAACAACTAGCGTCGATTCCCGTCGGATGCGTAAAGGAGAGAGGGAGGGCTCGGGAGAGGGAGAGAGGGCTCGGGGGAGGGAGGGAGGCGAGCGGAGGAGGAGGGGCTCGGAGGGAGGGAGGGGCGCGTGGGAGGAGGAGGAGAGCAGAGGCTCAGGGCGAGGGGAGAGGGAAGGCTGGGGGGGAGGGCGGGCGAGGGACAGAATGGGGAGGGAGGGAGGGTCGGGCGGAGAGAGGGGGACAGATCGCGGAGGGCCTCGGGGAAAGGAGGGAGACAGATCGAGGAGGGAGGGAGCGGCTCGGGGGAGGGGAGGTGACAGATCGGGGAGAGGAGATGAGACAGATCGGGGAGGGAGGGGGGGACAAGTCGGGGAGGGAGGGAGAGGAAGAGAGGGACGATTGGGAGGGAGGGAAGAGGGGAAGATTGGGAGCCGGGGGGACAGAATGGGGAGGGAGAAACGGGCTCGGGGGGAAGGAGGGGAGGGACAGATCGGGGCGCGAGGGAGGGAAGAATCGGGGGCGGGGGAGGAGGGGAGGCGAAGTACAGACCGGCAGAGGGAGGGAGGGCTCGGGGGGGGGAGAGGACAGATGTGGCCGAGGGAGGGGAGGGAGCAGAAGAGTGGGAGGAGAAAGGTGCTCGGGGGAGGGAGGGGAGAGACAGGACCGGAGAGGGAGGGAGGGCTCGGGGGGAGCAGAAGGACAGATGGGAGGCGAGGGAAGGGACAGAATGAGACGGAGAAAGGGCTCGGGGAGGCGAGGAGGGGAAGACCGGAGAGGGGAGGGGAGGGCTCGGGGGAGAAGGGACCAGTTTGGGAGGGAGGGGATGGAAGGGAGAGCGGACAGGATTGGGGAGGAGGGAGCGGAACGATCGGGGAGGGAGGCAGGGCTCGGGGCGAGGGAGGGGGAGGGACAGAGTCGGGGGAGGGAAGAAAGGACGATCGGGGCAGGAGGGCGCGGGTGAGGGAGGGGAGGGTACAGATCGAGGAGGAGAGGAAGGGCTCGGGGAGGGAGGGACAGATCGGGAGAGAGAGGGAGAGAGCAAGATCGGGGAGGAGGGAGGGACAGATCGGGGAGGGGAGGGAGGAAGAGAGGGACAGATTGGGCGAGGGAGGGAGGAAGAGGAGGGACAGATTGGGGAAGGCAGGGAGGGACAGAATGGGCCGAGGGAGAGAAAGGGTCGGGAGGGCGGGCGGGGGGGACAGATGGGGAAGGGAGGAGAGGAATCGGAGACGCGGAGGGAGCGAACAGACGGAGAGGCGAGTGAGGGCTCGGGGGGGAGGAGAGGACAGCGCATTGGCGAGGGAGGGGAGGACAGAATGGGGAGGGGAAAAGGGCTCGGGGGAGGGAGGAGGGAGCAGACCGCGAGAGGAGGAGGGCTCGGGGGCCGGGCCCTCGGCGGGAGAGAAGGCAGATTGGGGAGGGAGGGAGCGGAGCAGAATGGGGAGGAGAAAGGGCTCGGCGGGGAGGACCGGGAGGGGACAGACCGGAGAGAGGGAGGGAGGGCTCGGGGGGAGAGAGGACAGATTGGGGAGGGGAGCGGGGAAGAGGAGGAGAAAAAAAAAACCAAGGGATTGTGGGGGACGCGGCGCAGGGGACAGACGCGGGAGGGAGGCGGCTGGGGAGGGAGGGGAGGGAACAGATCGGGGAGGAGGAAGGAAGGACGATCAGGGGACGGAGGGCGTCGGGAGGGAGGGAGGACAGATCGAGGAGGAGGAGGGGCTCGGGGGAGGGAGGGAGGGCGCGGGGGGGAGGGAGGCAGGACAGAGACGGTGGGGGGAAGGGGGCTCGGGAGGGAGGACAAGATTGGAGGGAGGGAAAAGACAGATCGGGGACAGAGAGAGAAACAGATCGGGGAAGGAAGGAGGGCTCGGGGAGGGAGGGAGGAACAGATCGGAGAGGGAGGGAGGACTCAGGGGAGAGAGGGACAGATCGGGGAGGGGAGGGGCCCAACATAGTAACAGATTTTATAAGAAGATAAAATCACATCTCAGATTCAGATTCCTGGTTTGTTGGCACCCCTTGCTACTGCGCCTTGGCCTATTTAAGGCTCAGGCGCCTCCTCCTGAGAGCGGCTTCCGGCTTGCAGATCCTCGGTCGGCTAGATGGTAAGACTACTGATTTTTTCCTGGCAACACCCTGAGCAAAGGTGTGGGGGGGGTGGAATGCAAAGTGGCAGGGCAGTTGAAGGACTTGGAGGTAGGTCACGCTCGTAACGGAAAATCAGAGCAATGCAATATCTGTGGGGCGCCAGCAAAGGGAGACAAACACCAGGATAGTTGACGCGGCGCATCGCAGGACAGATGGCGGATGTCCATGATGTAGAATTATTAACTGTGTTACGAAGCGCACAGAAGGCCTATGCTACACTCAGGTCCAGGCGACGGCACAGCACGCAGCGCATCACGCACGCACGCACGCACGCACGCGACGCCCTCAGGGAATAAAATATTAAGTTATGTTTTCGGGGGCTAACTTTTCAAGGCTCGGGAGTCGCAGTGCAATTAGCTTGCATTGAACTCTATGCAAATTTACAAGGGCTCTTTTGGGCATTTCCGGGGCTCTTTTGGGCATTTCCGGGGCTCTTTTTGGCATTTCGGGGGCTAAATCGCCCCGAGCCCCCGTGTATTTTTTTCACTGCACGCCCCGACATATTCCTTAAACGCCGCAATTTATCTACACGCACGCACGACGACGCGTCCACGCACGCGGTAACAAAACATCTGGAAATCTCACCTTGTCGTTTTCGAACCACAGCAGCGCGTGGTTGCGCGACAGCACCTTGCAGTCGAATATGGCGTTGTTCGCCGCCGGGCGGGCACGCGCCACTGAGCGGCCGATTTTCACGGGTTCCGTGACATGGATGTGTCGCTCGTCGAACTCGTGCGAATTCGGCAGGCACGTGAATACCGCGAGGGGGGCCGCCATCGTCGTCGTCGACGTTCACGACGCGAGAGCGCGGCGTCCGTCTATGTCACGCGAGAGCGCGGCGTCCGTCTATGTCACGCGCGACCACGACGTATATATCACAGTCGATGTGTACGTGTCCGTCCTGCGGAGGTGGCGCCCCCTCACGCGCGGCCACGCGGCATCGCACACGTATTCGTCACTCGATCGGGTGTCACGCTGAATGCTTGGGCTTCGGCCGCGTGGTCACGGATCATCCTAAGAGACCGGCCTGCTCAGTACTCTCTGTAAGAACGGAAGCGGGATTGTTCGAGCGCGGAGAGGCAAGCGCGTGCCCACGTACTTGGTAATGCGTCATGGGGGAGGGGGGGGGAGTGAACCGGAGACATGCACCAACTGTTTACACAGACAGTAGTTCTAAACTGCTATGACACGGATGTGTGGGTAGATATTTGCCTAAATAAACAAAATCAGATTGCACTGTACAGATAAGCCTACTGGGTACGGTTACGTTCAGTTTATATTTACACAAATAAGGATTAGTGTCTCCGTAACAAAACTTTAATAATATTCAGGTCTTAAATAGTCACTGGGTTTAATCTTTGAGGTAAACTCGTGATTCAATATAGAACGATAAATGATCCATGACAGTTGCACCGATTGACTTCCTGTGAGTGTTGTAAGAAGGCACACAAACAAACTACGAGGTGCCTGCAGGAAAATCACAACCACAATTGACATTTCAGTTTCATGCGCCACGACGTAAGGTCGGAATCGACACGTCAGCACGCGCGCTGTCATCAAAAACCATACATCAACTATGAAATAGCCGATTTTATACTGTAAATAAGTCATGATGATACTGATAGCGAAGTTTGTGAACGGAGAGACTGACATAAAAACGTCAAACCGTCGCCTCTTAGTCACGACCCCGTTTACATTTGTCAAAAACTAACGCATTAATATATGCGTCTAATTAATAATAATCGTAACATTCCATATAAAAACTTAATGCCGCTTATCTGAAATGACAGCACTACGTTACAAATACAGAAACCAATACCCCGATTTTCCTTTTCCTGCATTATTGACGGCCATGTTGAATTTTAACCCAGCAGCCTCCTTTTCGATTTAATATGCAGATGGCGCCATCTTTCGGTAGCGAATGGGAAATTTTATCAACTATCATCACTGAGCTGTATCAGTATATGTTTCATGTAATCGCTTAATCTCATAACAATTAGTCTTCAAAATAACAATAGTATAATTAATATTCATAACAATTTAGTCTTTAAAATAAAATCAGGCGTGTAATGAAAATGTTATAGAGCTCAGAAGGAGAAGGAGAAAGAAGAGGAGGAGAAGAGGAGGAGAAGGAAGAATAGAAGGAAGAGGAAGAAGAAGAAGAAAAGGAGGAGTAGGAGAAGGAGGAGTAAAGAGTCTGTAACAGGACGGAGGAGAAACGGGTCGGAGAATGAGAGGAAGGCGGTGTTATAGGAGGTGGATAGGTCACTATGCGAGCTAAAGTGGGAGCAAATTACATGTTCAATGTACTAGCTGGTATAACGTTATACATGTAATGCAGTAGCTATCCAAGTCTTTATATTTTTTGTATTCTAGGGGAGTGGCAGACTAGATGACTTTGAGTCAATTCACCACTCCCCTGCTCGAATTATTATTTACAACTTGATTGATTGAATGTATATGTAAATTGCTGATGAGCAAAATAAATGATTTGATTGGATTGGATTTGATGAATGTGTATGTGTAGAGTGAGAGAGCATGTGAGGGAAAATTCTGTAACCTATATGTGTCCAGTTTCCACAATTTTCCTATACCATACTTTCGCATGGCCACCACGGCCCAGAAATGCAATACCATGTTGAATTTATATATTCAAACTAGAAAGTACACACTTGCGAGTACAGTAATGCGAAAAAAGACAATTTCTGTGACTCACTTTATGAATGGTAGAGCGCCCCAGCTCAGTTTTCCAATATTTTCAACGCTGTTATGAATTTTGATCACTGTTCGTGCTTACGCAGTGTCCGCAAATGTTCTAATATTCTATTGAAGGTAAAGGCTTTTATTATTATCTATCCTTTTTTAATGAAAAACTTCTTTTGAATAATTAGAAGGCGTCAAATCTTCTCAATGTCTCTGCAATGGCGATTAAAAATTTTTACACATTTTTTTGACGTTGGATGGCGGTAGTGTCGCGTATGAGATAATATCAGGAGTAAGATAATATAGATTAGATATATATATATCTATATAATATATATATATATTTCTATATAATATAGATATAGATATAATATTCTATATTATCTTACTCCTGATAATATAGTGCCTAGCTGATGATAAACAGATATATTTTGTAAATGTTTGTTGAGGTAATTGATTTAAAAAAAAGGCTGGTAAGTAGACCCATACCCTCCAGTTACTTGATTTACAATATTTTTTATCTCAATGCCTCGATATAAGGCAACGAATCATTGAGCCCCACAAGATCTATGATAAAATATAGGGTCTGTCTGTTTGCGTGCATATTTTGCGCATCTTTTAAATAAAAGTACATTCCTATGAAACTATGCATTTAAAGTAAAGAGTACATACTCCGGGATAGTTTTATTTGAAAAAACTGGCACTCCTTGCCTCTCTTACATAATCATACCCAATTCCCTCGATTACCAGTAACCCAAAGTGAAATTGCTGACACTTTTCACCGTTGGTCGGCGCTAGTGTCGCGAAAGTAAAGAAATGCATGATACCATACGAAATACATGCATAAAAATTTGTTATATATTAAAAGAAGTAGTATTGCATATTAAGAGCACATACTGTCTAAATATTTGACGCGATCTAGCAATGTGTTTTCTCTAAAAGGTTTTCCATTACAATTCCAACGTAGCCGGTGGTCGAGAAACACAAAATGTAACGTCCGTACGCATACGCCAAATAAAGACATAAAGACATAAAGACATAAAGACATAAAGACATTCTTAATTCTTGTGCGGAAGCGACGATTGGTTAATGTGCCGTGCACGTGACACCACCTCGCGCATTTAACGAAAAAAAAATTCGCTGCGTCCTTTTATATCGGAACAAAGAACACTAAATAACCTCCCCTCCCTATTCACGTTTCTTGATGGGTTACAACTCGAGAAATCGGGCGACCAATGCATCTCGTGCGTGACAGAGGGGGGGGGTCCGTGTTATATACCCCCCTCTCATCGTCTTGTGTGCAGACACAGATACAGGTCAGTGTACAGTGATGTCGGGTGGTGACCAAGCAGCTGGACATGGCGACCACACGCAGGCTGGGGGTGGGGTGGGGGAGGGGATAGAGGGGGGAGGGAGTCCCTCCTATAATTATCAATTATTCCACTTCTTGTCGTCAACGTCCCGTGAATAGACTTAATAGAAATTTTCCACGCCGTGCTTCGATGGTATGCGAGCTGCGCGGTGTCGCAGCCTGCTGTGGTTGCTACCGCTACAGACACCGCGGTCGCTAGATACTCCAGCTGTGTAGACTGTCTTGCTATCTTGATATACCCTCTGGTCTATCCCCTATCTCCTCTCTCTCTCTCTTTCTCTTTCTTTCTCCCTCATTCTCTCTTTCTCTCGCGTTCTTTCTTTTTTCTCTTACGCGCGCTCTCTCTCTCTCCCTCTCCCTCTCTCTCTCTCTTCCTCTCTCTTTCTCAATCCCTCTCTCTCTCTCTCTCTCTCTCTCTCTCTCTCTCTCTTTCTCTCTCTCTCTCCCTCTATCTCTCTCTCTCTCTCTCTCATTCTCCCCTTTCTCTATCTATCTCCCTCTCTCTTTCTCTCTCTCCCACTCTTTCTCCTCCTCTCTCTATCTATCTTTCTCCCCCTCTCCCTCTCTTTCTCCCCTCTCTCTATCTATCTTTCTCCCCCTCTCTCTATCTCTCTCTCTCTCTGCCGGTATATCAATGAGCGCGCGTCTATATAGCGGGGCGTCACGTGAACCACGCCCACGTCGTAGCGACAACGTAGACAACTACCGGTTCTAGGAAATCGTTTCTACCGCGTCGCAATAGTTATTTAGAAACCAGCCTTACCGACGTGGCCCTGCGCCCAGACGTACTGTCACAGGTAGCGATGGAGCGAAAGCCTATACGTAGGTATCACCACGAGTCAATAATAACAGATTTATCTGTTGTCTTTATGAATTATTATTATTATTATTATTATTATTATTATTATTGTTATCTATTATTATTATTATTATTATTATTATTATTATTATTATTATTATTATTATTATTATTGTTATTATTATTATTATTATTATTATTGTTATCTATTATTTTATTTTATTTTATCTATATTTTAATTTACTCCTGCTATCATGCACCTACACATGCAGGCAGGGCAGCATAGAAGCAGGAGTCAATAATAACAGCTCTGTGATAGAATGATGATTCCTGGTAGAAGGCAGAGAAGAGTACAGAGACATGGAGTCAGATACGATGAGAAACACCGCGTAGATACTGAATATATTCATATATTTATATATCCATGGTTTTCTTAAAACGATGACACGTACGTGAGATAGTCCGATTTAGAATGAAGAAGAACAATCACAACGGGAATCGTATACAAATTAAGGCACGCCGGCATCTGTTCATATGTTGTGTGTGTATACTACGTACGTACGTATGTCTGTATTTTGCTCCAGACAACGATGTAGCGATTTACATCAAGAGTACATGATAGGAGATCTCCTATTATATGTACTCTTGATTTACATGGGTGTGTCAACATCTATATCTCCTGCATTTTCCGAGCACCAGTAAACAAAACGATAGCAGTTAACTAATCGACGTAATCATGGCCCACATGCACGCACGCACGCACGCACGCACGCACGCACGCACGCACGCACGCACGCACGGACTCATGTGCGCACATACACACACGCACGCACGCACGCACGCACGCACGCACGCACGCACTCACTCACTCACTCACACACACACACACAC